GTGAGTGGCTGCCTTTCCAGCAGCTCCTATATTTTGTTCTACTTCTTCCATTCATAACTTTGCTGCTGTGAATTGGGAATTTCTCCATTGCGATACTAATAAAGGTTTTCTTATCTTATCTTATCTTATCTTATCTTATCTTATCATATGCAATTGAATAAGTAGACCATTTCAGAATTCGAAATTTGGGACTCTCTAACTGCATAATGGGACTCATACTTTTCTGATCAGCGAGTCCCTGGGACTCGCTGGCGGTAAACTGTAAAATTATCACTGACCAAGGGTCCCAAACCACCCATTTGCGGGCCGGTACTAGGCCTGGGCCAAATTTTGTCTGCATAGAGACAGACCTGCGGGCTGCAAGCAAATTTACTCCATCATACCTGGGGGAAATGTGTGCGGCTCTCACCAATCAGAGTCCTCCCTCTGACATTGGTTTGCAAGTTGAAATAAACAGAATCCGCCAAAAAAATGAAAGAAGCAGAAAACTGAAAGTAATAATTACAAATTGACCAAATGTACGCGTAGCTGATGGGGAGTCATGACTTCCTAAGAACCTAGAAGTCACTCCTCAGGTCGTGTCACCAGAGTGATGTGGAGGAGGAAGCTGTTGTGCACGCCATGTTGTCAAAAACAATGTACCGTATTTTCCCCACTATAAGTCGCACCGAAAAATCTTCTATTTTCTTAAATGTTCACGGTGCGCCTTAAAATCTGGTGCGCCTTGTGTATGGTCATTATAGTAATATGTCAACCTCAAGATGGCTCCATGCTTACAATGTTATAACCTGCTGTTGGTTCAGTGAACTGTGTCGCTGCTTTATTAAATAAGTTTGTTGCAGTTCCGAAAAAAGTAGAGCTGTGGTGTTGTTTTTTTTAAAACGCACACTTTATTAATGGTTTTCACAGTCTCAACAAATACAGGTACATCTTTGTCCTTCTCCGTGCCTTCTCTTCTTCTGTTCGACTCGAGAGGCATTCATGAATTTAAAATAATGCATCAAAACAGAAAATCAAGCGAGGAAATCAAAAAAGAAATTCTGTAGTCCCACTGCAGAATTTATTTTGTGATTTCCTCATTTGTGAATACAGTACACAACAAAGGAATAAATAACAAACACTTCTGAGACAGTCCAGTCTCCTCCAATTTAACTCAACTGTATTTATAGAGCACTTTCAAACAGCCATTGCTGCATACATAGTGCTGTACGTGGAGCAACTAACATATATACAACAATAAAGCAATAATCAGTAGCAAAAATGGTAGTAGTTACCAAACAGTAAAACTCAGATCAATTTTACTGACATCTGATTGTTCTGTTCCAGCTACGCGCAAGGAAATGACAAAATAAATTCTGTAATTATTTTGTGATTTTCTGTTTTGATGCATTACTGTTTTTTCAATTTTCGTAGTTTCATTGAAGTAATCGTTAATTTACGGTCATGAACGCCTCTCAAATCTAACGGAAGAAGAGAAGGCACAGAGACAGAAAGATGTACCTGTAGCTCTATCTAGTGGATGCATTGTAGATTGCGCCTTATAGTCCAGTGTGTGCAATATATGAAAAAAATTAAAATATAGGCCATTCATCAAATGTGCGCCTCATAATCCAATGCGCCTTTTAGTGCGGAAAATACGGTAATGCAAGAAACCTGTTGCGTCATTTGAACAAGTGGCAAACAAGTGATCAAGTTGAAAGCATGAAAATGTGAGCAGAGTTTGCACCACCTGCCCATGTTAACCTTAGCAGTTTAGTCTCTCATGACTAGCCGGCAGCTACCGGATGAAAGCGGCAATCAATCTTGCTGTCTATTAATCAGTCACGTTTGCAACTAGCAATGATACTGACACTGCATGTAGGATCATAACTTAAGTATGATTATGTTTACATTCTCGGGCGTATTTATTATTCATGATTAGTTCATTTCACAGTAGTTTACTGTTTCTTTATTCTACATTTGTTGGACAGTAGATTGACACTGTTAAAGATGAATGAAAAAAAAAATCTATGTTCATGAAATGTTTAATTACTCTGTAATTATCTTTGTTGTCAGTACAAGTGCTTTAAAACTGTCCATTTAAAAGCAATGAACAATAGTGTTCGCCAGTCTGTGAACAGCATGTACTTGTCTGAAATGGTCTGTGACACAAACATGGTTGGGGACCACTGCTGGAGAGCATCCTCAAAGGGAAAACCCGCGAGGGGTAGACAGTATTATTTCTTCAAACAGCAACTAAATCTGCACTTATTTTGTACTCAAAAAGGATACAAGCAGAAACTATTGTGGTGTCTGTTTTATGGTAAAAATATATACAACTTAATATATCACAACGTAACGAGCGGAAGATATGATGCCTGTTAGCTGCTCAGCAATGTTCATCATTAGATTAGCAAGGATGCCTGTTTGCTGATCTGCAAGGGTCATCATTAGATTAGCAAAGTGCATATGTGGGGCAAAGTGCATACATGTAATGACTATTGTCTGTTCTGCATTAATTATCATTAGGTTGCCATGCACACGGTGCATATCATGGATACAGTTAAATCTAAAAGCGAATGCAATCACACAAAGGCCCAGTAGGGGCCCCTATTATATTTTAAAATAAAGCCCATTGTGATACCATTATAAATTAGAACCAAGGTATGAAACTGTTAATAGATACCATTAAAATCTAGCTGACAAAGATTGTCACGACCAATCAGAATTACACAACGCATCAGGATACCATTAGAATTGATAAAGTGAGGGGCATCCCTTGGTACCAGCCAATGAAATGAAAGGGGTTGGCCCCACAAACCTCTATAAAACCTGTGTTTTGTCCCTGGAGAATTCAGAGCTCTGATGTGCACATCTGTACCTCTCCGAGTTTTGATTGAATAAAACTCGCTTGTGACCAGCCTGCCACTTGGACTCTTGACTAAGTTTGTATTTAGTTTCTGATCAACTCCGGCCTTGAACTCAGTGACATCTGGTGCGTCCCCTGGTCTGCGGCTCAACGAAGGAACATCAGTGTCGGCCCTCCTGCCTGCCGCCGACCCCCGGGAGAGGCGAGACGTCTCCGTGCGCCCCTTGCCTCCGGGAGGAGGCGTGGGTCCGGCTGGGGGCCGACACTACACTATCCATGGGCATACTGACTGAACGATTAACATGCCAAATTTAACCTCTTACCAGAAACAGTTGATTCTTTCTTGAGAGTAGTCAAACTGTACTGCAGAGCATGCCTTCAGGTCCAGGGTTCGAATGGGCTCCTCATACTACAGAAAAGGAAACAATAAAGTGCACAATGTGCTGAAGGTGTAAAGTTACAAACCATTGAATGAAGTTGAATTTCGGGCTGGGCGATAAGGCTATAATGTAATTCAGATCAGTCAGTTTTGATATATGTTGATTTTTTTTTCATCTCAATGTATTTTGTACCTGATTTAAAATAAGACAAATTATTTAAAAAGTTAAAGATAAACTACAATAAAACTGCGATCCACAGGAAAAATACAATTCACCATATATGGTAGTAAAACTAATTTTCAAGGAACGTACTTTGTACAATGTTTTTCTCTCCATTGTAAAACAGTATAACGTGTAATGTTGTCTAGTACATCCAAGCTCTGCCTGAAGCAGTGCCACCATTCCGCTGAGTTGCCGAAGATGCGATGCCGCATCAATGATACAGTTACATTAACCTTCATTTGCTGTACAGACCATGTAAGTGTAACAAATGAATACTTGTTTTCTTTTGTTTTGCAAACTTTCCAGTTGACCAACCGTCTTAGTTTCACTTAGTTGGCTCATTATTGCCATATACCATGTTTTATCTGATTGTATCTTCATGGACATGCTAAGCGTCGGAGCTGGCGAAAAGTCCCTAGAGCGAGCACAAAAGACAAGGAACTCCTTGACCTCTACTGCACGCATCTATCCAGAGGTGTTAGTTTTTACAATATACTGGGAATCGTACTGCAAGAGTTGCACAGAGGCAACTTTTCATTGATTTGAAAAAAGCTAAACCACAATTTTCATTCGATGCGTGTGCATGTACACACTTTACCGTCGATTTCAGCTGCCCCTTCTTTGTGACCATGGACTCGGCAGGTGAGCATTCTGCAACTCGACCGCGGTCAAAACAAGCTTTTGTGCTCAAAATCATGGCTCAAAACCTCTGCTGACCGCGCGCAGAATGCCAGGGTCTGAGTTTCTTTCTGATTTTGTTTTTCTATGGAACATTTTATTGAAGGCATTTTACATTGATTATGTGTCGATCGTCTTATGTAATGATAGCGAATTATTGCCCAGCCCTAAGTATGTAGAATGTAAACTAACCATTTGGTCTTTAAAGTACTTCAGTTCATTTCTTCTTAGTGTGAACCATCTTTGCTTCCAGCTCTGCAAACCAAGCATTCGTTCATGTGAAATAGCATAATAAATTACTCCACTGCACATTAAACAGTACAGAAGGTATGGCTCGAATTTGTCCGCTTCCCATACCTTCACAACTGCTCCTTGTTTCAGTAGATAGCCTTCCTTTGTACCGAGCTGGAAACACAACAATTGTCAATTGAAAACGGGTCACAGCTTTGCTTTTCAAAAGATATTTCCAATCATTCATCCATGTTCTGATCTGCTTATCCTCACAAGGGTTGCGGTGCTTGCTGGAGCCTCTCCCAGCTGTCTTCAGGGCAGGGAGACACCCAGAACCGGTTACCAGCCAATTGCAGGGCACACAGGGACGAACAACTACCCACGCTCACACTCACACCTAGGGACAATTTAGAGTGTTCCATTAACCTGCCACGCATGTTTTTGGAATGTGGGAAGAAGCTGGAGTACCGGGAGAACATGCAAACTCCACACAGGAAGGCCGGAGCTGGAATTGAACCCGGTACTTCGCGCCACCTTACCTTTCTGAACTCATCCGCCCCTACACACCTGCCCGGCGCCTCAGGTCTGCGGACCAGACATTATTGTAGGTACCGAGAACTAGGCTGAGGCTCAGAGGGGACCGAGCCTTTTCTGTTGCTGGTCGCTCTCTCTGGAATACCCTCCCACTGAACATTCGGAAAGCCTCCTCGCTGCCCATCTTTAAAACTCGCCTCAAAACTCACTTGTATTCTTTGGCATTTGACTAAGCATGATTCAGATTTGTTCTTGGATTTGCTGTTCGGTGCTTTCTACCGTCTTTGTTTCCTATTTGTTGCTTTACTGTTGTATATGTTAGTTGTTCCATGTACAGCACTTTGTATGCAGCGATGGCTGTTTGAAAGTGCTCTATAAATACAGTTGAGTTGAGTTGAGGTACCTCTGCACTGTGAAGCCGACGTGCAAACCAAGCAAGCTCCGGGCCGCCCTTAATAGATATTTTTTCTTTCAAATTAAATATCCTCATTGTGTTTGGTGTTTTAAAGAGTCTACTTGGAGCAGTTCCCATTAGTTGTAGTTTCTACGTGTCTACAAGGCTTTTCTTTAATACACCGTGTTCACATAACATGTGATCATCTTCTACTGCACCGCTGAATGCTGTGCAGAGTACTCATTTAACGGTATGTGCTAGGTCTCTGTATTTGAAGTCAGTAGGGAGAATGTTTCTGTGGCTTTGTGCTTCTGCTTTGGATAGCAACAGAGTAAGCAGCAGCCCTTAATTTTAATGAACGGAACACCCAGGTTGTCACGAACTTAGTCAGTCCTTCTATCATAGGTTTTAAGTGTCATACTGAGGGAGCGTTTGGCACAAGATCATTTTCTGTGCGCCCAGTCTGCAGAGCTGTGTGAACCCGCACAGATTCATAGATGGATGGCTCCTCCACTCTCCAAGGGTACGGATACTTCAGTACAATGAGAGTTCCTAAGACACGGGGGGAGATAATGAGAAAGAACAGCATCCATGTCAAAAAGAATGATTGATTCAACTGTCTCGATGCAGTTCAAATTGTGATGAGCAATATGAACTTACAACAACTAGCAATTCCTTTAGTAGTGTGAATATTAGTAATGAGAAATGTATTTTGTGCCCAAAACCACAGGAAAGGTTATTGAATATTCATGCACTAATGTTTACACCAGTGGACGATATTTGTGAGCATTTTGCAAAGTGATCTGAGACAGTTGTAATTGTTACTGATTCTTTCTATTCCCAATACAGTGCTACCTCTACTGATGACATTAATTGGTTCTGAAAGAAATTTCTTAACTCGAAAATTTTGGAAGTGGAGACCCATGTAAATGTCCTTATCCATTCCAAGCCCCCCCAAAATTCAAACATAAATGTTTTCTAAAGCATAAAAATGCATCAAAATATGTAATAAAGACATGTTTCAATTAGATTGCTGCACAATAAATGAGAGTTGTGCATATGTAAAAAACAAAGAATAAAGAATAAAATGATGGTCATTAAACTTTTAACTGAATCCTCATCGTTTTTTGCCCTTTTTAGGTCATGATCTCTCTCAGAAGTGGTTTTTGCCTGGCATTTTGTGAAGAACTGATCCAAGGACGTTTACTTTTGTCGACTTTTAACAATCCTTCGAAAATGTCCAAGGCAAACATCAGCCTAGTGAGCGATCGCCCAACTGGTGAACACTTTTTCTGGGTCATTCACATTTACGTGAAACTCTAGGAACACTTCATGGGCAATGATGAGGATGCTGCGTGGACACATGTCTTAGAGGTCTCCAAATATCGCATTAATTGTGATTAATTAATTACAGTTATATTTAGCGTGTTATGGTTTTTAATTGCGTTAATCAATTTTTTAAAAATCTTTTACCTTTATTGTTTCTGTAGGTGGGTTGCCTTTTTCTAATAACCCTTTTTATGTGTTGACCTCCTGTGTTCGAGTTGTTGAGGTTGGGGAAACAACTGTCAGTCACAGCCCGAAGCAGACATTGATTGGCTGCCATTATGTTGGGGCTCTTTTAGCCGAAGCTGATAGGCTCCCATTGGAGTTGGGCGGGCTTAGTAAGCAGTGGTGAGGAGTGGAGAGGTGAAAATGGAGCAACGAGAGTTCTCGGCACAATGAATGGAACATTTACTTTCCAAAAACGCCCTGACGACACACTTGATAAAGGTAGAGTGTTGTGCCTAATTTGTAAGAAGGACTTGGCTTACCACCGAAGCAGCTGAAATTTAGCCACCCACATCAATGCAAAGCACCCAGTCGCGAGTGCAGCCACAGCTAACGTGAGCACCGAAAGCATTAGCAATAGAGGGAGCCATAGCAAATCTCTTCGCCAAACTAAACTCAAGGAGAACACCCCGCGTACAAGTAATGAAGTCAGCATAGATGCTGTGTCCTCTGTAGCCTACTAGAAGTGGTTTATGTTTATTCCAGCACTTTATTTTGTCATTATGAACAGTGTTATTTCTGAAGTGCTAATTTACAGCACTGTGCTTTAAGGGTCTGTTTTATTTATTATCTGAAGCAAGTTCAGCGTTGAGAACTTGTATTGCTCAGAAAATTGTTCTTACTTTTTTTGATACGTTAACCTAAGCACTTTTTAAGGACCTGATGTTCTATTTTATTTTTATTTTGTAATTCTTTGGAGATTTAAGAAAACAAACTAAACAGTGATATTCCCCCTCGTGGTTTAAACTAAAGGTTTGACTAGTCTCAGCTACAGCAGAACGTAAGTGGCTAGGACTGCATCTGTCCAAGTCTGCTGAAAAACAAAAAAATACTTTATAATGCCACTTTTTCTTTTATTTTTTGATCTACCTCAATAATGTAGCGAATTGAAAATGAAAATAGGGGTTTTCTCAGTAATTTTCAGAGGAGATTAAAATATAGACAGTCATCTCGTTAACGCTGCGTCCCGCATCCTAGAAGCAAAATTTTCCCGCGGGATGCACAGTTCCAAATAATGTGCGTTTTTGGGACGCAAGTAAATTTCTCAGTCAAAACAAAACAAAAAAACCTACGGCAGGCCTGAGGATTTCACGGTAACGATTGTTACCGGTAGCGTGTCATTTTCGTAGCGTCATTTTGACGGTACCGAAAAATCGTTTAACCTTAAAAGTCACCACACACGAGTTGACTGTACGCGATCAAATCTCTCCTGTGTGATCAACGCGATTTCACTGTGCCTGTATGTGTGTTTGTGGTGTGGTGTGTGAGTGTGAGTGTGTTTCTTCTAAATTACTTTCGTTTTATTTTGTTTTCAGTGTTGGGGGCGGGGGACGGAACAGATAACGTTATGTGTGTATGCGGGTTGCTATTTTAGTCCGCAAACTGAGGAATCGCGCGGATGAAAGTTTGAGATGGCGGCGAAAAAAACTCACAAAGGTCTACTAATTACGACATTTAAGAAATGGGAATGCCAGTCTGATTTTTTGTATGAATCATCCGAAGGGCGTATCACTAAACTCACCTGTGAGTATGCACAGAACACGAGAGAGAGATACGACGGGAGGCACGATTCGGAGGCAAATTGGTCATTAGATCTATAGGCTAATCGTTATGAAAAATATTATGAAACAGTCTTGGTTATTCTATAATTTACTCGTTGTAGCATGGTAACTTTATGAATAAAACATTCGTCACAAGGGGTAGTAATGCTAATGTTAACTGTTGATAGAACTAATGATGACGTGTGTGAGATTCTTTCGTCAAATTGATAGTAGATTACACATGCATTGTCTTGGGAAGAGGATGTCAAGCCACATCAAAACTTACCTGTACAGGGAAACTCCTCTACAACGAAACCTACATGGGCGAAAATACCCCCCAGTGTGAAAAAAATCTTCATGCATTAAAACTATTCTCACTTTCCTGCCCCCCATACAACGAAAAAAACCCTGTTGCATTATACGAAATCTTTTTCTCTGCTCTTGCCTCGCGACGAGATTCACTACAACGAAGTCTAATCCAACAGCGACCTCTACGGCTTCGTTCGGAAACGGCAACAGCAACCACCACACTGGTTTACACATGCGCAGTAGTCCAGGAAGTATTTGTTATTGTTAGTTTCAGACGCAGCAAGAACGTTGCATTGCTAAAATGGCTCCAAAATAGACCTTTGGATGTCAAGCAGCTAAGACAAGAAGAGCTCTGATGCTGGAAGAGAGGGTAAAAGTGATCAAAATGAAAGACAGAGGAAGCAAAATAAAAGACATTGTCCAAGAAATTGATCTCAGTGAAAGTGAATGCTGATCGTAAGTTCGCAATTTCTTTCCCTTTTTTTCTATCTACACTGACAATATGAAGTGTCAAATAAATGTATACTATGCGCTATTGGAATAAAATTAAAGAGTACACATATGTTTGTGTGTGTGTGTGTGTGTGTGTGTGTGTGTGTGTGTGTGTGTTTTTGTTTACATCGAAGATGAAATTTGCTACAGTGAAAAACCCCCTGTTGTGAAAAATTTCTTGCTGCAAACGTGATTTCGTTGTAGAGGAGTTTCACTGTATTAATGATTACCAGTAAATTAATCTTTGCAGTGTGAGATTGGAAAAAAATACTCTGATTTTGTGGTATGCTGTATTCATGGTGCCATATGAGTACACCATATTTTGATCCATTAATTTTTTTGAATGAACCTATAGTTCACAGCTGCTGATGTAATGTTCATTGTTAATGCAGTTTTCAAACATTTACCCTTGAAACATTATACTTTTGAGTTTCAGAATTCTTGATTATGAATATCAGTCAAAATAGAAAAACAGGTTCCCATGATGAACGTTTACGGAACCCAAAATTAGTTACTGTGGTTTCCCATTGGGTAATCCGATGGAATCGAAAAATGGTGACCATGATTTTCCGAAATCCTCAAGCCTGCTTCTGAATTATTTAAAAATTTGCAGTGTTTTTTTATAATTGTATGTATATGTTGTTTGTGTTATTATCAGATGTAGTTGAATAAGTAGACCATTTCAGAATTTGAAATTTGGAACTCTCTAAATGCATAATGGGACTCATACTTTTGATCAGCGAGTCCCTGGGACTCGCTGGGGGTAAACTGTAAAGTTATCACTGAATAGATTAATTAGATCAATTAATTACAGACCCTAATTAATTCATCTCACATTTTTTAATCGCTTGACAACACTAACATATCTGTCTATCCACACACATAGACACATATGGTAGAAGTCCCTCTTAATCAATAGGATGCCAGGATGATGCTCGGTAATAGCTCCCTCCAGGGCAGCTATAAATATGTTCCGTTCAGGAAACTCAGAGCTGTGCGGAGCAGCCCAACCTGTCTTTTTACCTTTCGTATCTTGAAACTTCCTTCGTAACAAGAGGCACTATTTTCCTGTTGAGGCGTTTCAAAACTTGAAAATTTCATATGAAGAGACGTTCATCAATAGAGGTATCACTGGACTCGTGTGGCAAATGAAGAGTGAATGAGAATTCATATGTTCATACATATTCATTTATTTACATTCAGATTTCACATTCACATTCAGAATGAGAAATCAGAGAATGAATGCATGAATGAGTTCCGGTAAAGGGGAAGTCAAGCCCCAAAACGTTTTTTATAATATGTACAATGTCCTCAAGGTAGTCTAAAAACTGTATTCTCATTCATATTGTATTGTTGGAATATGAATTAAAACAGCAAAATCCATTCATTTTCATCCATCTCAAGTGGCAGCCATTTTGCCACTTGATCGACACTACATTGTCGAATGAAAAAAACATCACGGTGCCCAAGGTCTCAGGGAACGACTAATCACGGCTCACCAGTTTTCTGGGTTTGGTTGTGTGATATTCACAAGCTGAGTCCTTGTGCTATATTGAGACCAAATTTGAAATATTGCGACGTGATTCTTGTCTTGCATGTGTTTGTTCACAGGGACAAGAGACCAGGGCTGCTTCAAGTGGACAGGAGGAGGGGCTCTTCCTCCGACAAGAAAAAAAACTGTTTGAACTTTGCTAGTGAATTTTGTGACCTGTGGTTGTGTTTGCTGCTCAATGCAATCTTTAGTGCATTCACAAAATCCATCTTCATTGCTCCCCAATTCAACAAGTTTGCTCCTTTTTTGTCTTGCTCCTGGTCAGTTCGGGAAGCTGGCTATGTTGTATCCCACAGACGGCAATGATATTGTCCCCCATTGTGTTTAATCCACCACGCTGTGTCTTTTTTATT